CACGATTGTGGTTTATCACACAGAAAGAACACAGATTAAAATCAGCCTAAGGAAGAGACACACAGGGCAGAGTCTGGGAGGGTTTCAGGTGTGAAGCTTCATTGTCCTCAGGATGCTGTGATCTCCTGCGTCAACGTGGGACAAGATACATGGGGTGCTGCCAATCAGGGAAGCTCACCCAGTTAAGGAAACATTCCTGTGAATCACATGAAATCAGGAAGGAAGCCTTTATTCAGGATGGTTGTTACAGGGGAGGGAGACCGAGTCCAGCTCCAAACACAGTAAAGACAGAGAGGGAGTCACAGCCAACACCAGGGTGAGGGGCGGCAGATGGAACAGGACTGACAGGAGACACCAGAGTGTGATGTTCCTGCCAAACTGGCCTAACAGGATTCTCACTAAAGGCAGGTCAGACACTCACCCATCAACGGTGGGAGTGAGGAGCATGATCAGATAGCAAAGGGTGCTCAGACAGCAAGCAGGGAGGACCCTCCCTAAACCGACTTGGGGAGATTCTTGATGAGCTGGGCAGTGCAGTTCCAGCAAGCAGTGGGTGGGTGTGGAAGGCCAAGTTCGGCGCCTAGTGGAGAAGAAGCTCAGAAGCGCCCCGCTGGAGCTGGTCAAGGAGAACGTCTTTCTCAACCCATGCCTTAGTGTCCAGAATATTTGCTGGGGTTGGATCACAAGCTGCCCTCATGGCTGACCTGGAGTCTCCAGCCCCTCCCTGAGGTCTCACACCTTTAGTCCCCAGGTCCTCTGGAAGTCAGGAAAGACACCAAATAGCCCCAAACCCCATCATCCATCACATTGCTGTACTGTCCCGTGGCCAAACCACCAGGCAAAGAAAGATGTTCCTACCAGGCAGGACACTCCAGGAGCCTGGAGATCACTTCCCAGGAGCTGAGGACAAAGGGAAGGCCTCTCTTTGGGAAAAGTTCATGCTTCACTTTGCTGCCATCCTGGGAATAAGGTGTCTTTGTCCCACTCTCACGGCTCTTTGTTCATCTGCAGAGTTTTCCCCTCTCCAAACACTTTGGCAATCACAGTGTTGACCTGCCCTTGAGTGAGGCGGCATCTTTATCAAACACCTACCACGAAAGAGCATCTGAGATGCCTTTAAGATATTTATTTCCATATGGAATAAGTACTGAGGGGTATCGATGATGAACAAAGCATGTTTGAGCTTAAATTCTCTTCATTTGTAAAATTTGTTTCTATTTGATTGATAGTGAGAGCTCTGCACTTTACACAGGATAGAGATCGCATGGAGCCGATTTCACAGACAGGGGAACTGCATTTCTTAATCCTTTAAACTTTCCTTGTGCAGGGATGAGGCAGATGAGCTCTATAAAGCTCTGAACAAGCTTATAAGACACATGGTCATGAAAGACAAAAACTGGCTCGAAGAAGTCCAGCAGCACAGAAAGCGGTTTTTGGAAGAGTTTCCTCGGTTGGAAAGGGAGCTTCAGGATAAAATAAGAAGGCTCTGCGACCTTGCAGGTGAGGTTCAGAAGGTCCACAAAGGCGCCACCATCGCCAATGCGTTCTCCAGCACTCTCGGCGTTGCCTCTGGTGTCCTGACCTTCCTCGGCATGGGTCTGGCACCCTTCACAGCGGGGAGCAGCCTTGTGCTCTTGGAACCTGTGACGGGGTTGGCAATCGCAGCCGCCTTGACCGGGATTACCAGCGGTAGCGTGGAATACGCAAAGAAGCGGTCGGCACAAGCCGAAGCCCATGAACTGGTCAACAAAAGCCTTGACACGGTGGAGGAGATGAACGAGTTTCTGTATCACAACATACCCAACTTTATTTCCTTACGTGTCAATCTTGTCAAATTCACAGAAGACACTGGGAAGGCCATCCGTGCCATCAGGCAAGCCAGAGCCAACCCTCACTCAGTACCACATGTCCCAGCCTCACTCCACCGGGTCACTGAGCCAGTCTCAGCTACAAGCTTTGAAGAGATGGAGAGAGTTGGAGAGATGGAGAGAGTTGGAGAGATGGAGAGAGTTGCTGAATCCCTCACCACGGAGGTGATCAGAGGAGCCAAGATCGTTGATAAGGTCTTTGAAGGCGCCCTTTTCGTGCTGGATGTAGTCGGCCTCGTGTGCCAGTTAAAGCACTTACATGAGGGGGCAAAGTCAAAGACAGCTGAGGAGCTGAAGAAGGTGGCTCAGGAGCTGGAGAAGAAGCTAAACATTCTCAACAAGAAGTATGAGACTCTGAGCCAAGAACCGTGACCACAGGGCAGGGCAACCACCAGGGGAGAGATGCCTGGGACGGGCCAAGACAAAATGCAAACTTTTTTTTTTTTTTTTTTTTTTTTGAGCCATAGTCTTGCTCTGTCGCCAAGTTGGAGTGCAATGGTGCGATCTCAGCTCACTGCAACCTCCACCTCCTGTGTTCAAGCAATTCTCCTGCCTTGGCCTCCCAAGTAGCTGGGACTACAGGCGCCCACCACCACGCCCAGCTAATTTTTGTATTTTTAATAGAGATGGGGTTTCACCATGTTAGCCAGGATGGTCTCTATCTCCTGACGTCTTAATCCACCCACCTCAGCCTCCCAAATTACTGGGATTACAGGCGTGAGCCACCGCCTTTGGCCCAAACCCAAACATTTTATTAGGGGGATAAAGAGGGTGAGGTAAAGTTTATGGAACTGAGTGTCAGTGACTTTGGCATTTCTGCAGCTGAGTACAGCAGGGGAGGGGTTAATGCAGATGGCAA